AGAATTTTCGCTATTATTTCATCATGGTTTCTCTCCATAAGCTTAGCTTTCACTATTTATTCATTTTTTCTAATGTTGTCAAAGCATAGAGAAATTATTAAAGATAAAGCTTTTTTTACGATTGTTACTGTTAATGCGGCTATATTTTTTAGTGAAATAACCGCACCTTTCCAAGTGTTAACAAGTTCAAACTGTTCAGAAGCACAAATATCGTATCTTAATTGTACTTCTAATGCAGTAAGCTTTACGAGATGTTCAGATCAGTCATCTGTTGAATGGTACTATGTATTTAATATTGTAAGGAATCTTTGCTATTTGATTATCAAACCTGGCTTGCTTTATCTTGCATACATTCGATGCACTGTAGTTGTAACAGAATTTAGATCATTTGGAAGTTCCTTATTTCATCATGGCATTGTATTACTTCGCTCTTTGGAACTGCTTACTTGGTTTATCGTTAGCATTCTGGATCTAGCTTATTGTCAAGGATCATATTGTGATAGCATGTGCAAATACATACCAACAACTTTTTATATAAATGACATAATGTCAACTATCTTCCGGTCTTATTACATTTTCATGGAATCCATATTTTATAGAATTCTATTTAAAGATAATAACAAAAATCTTTTCCTAGAGATTTGTTTGCAGAAAGCTTTATTTACCTTTGATATATTACAACTCTTAGCAATGTGTTCTTATCGAATAGCAGGACTTATAATAAAAGAAGGAACACCAACTTATCTTTACGCTGAGATTTGTAGTACTGCCCTCACTATCTTTGTTATGACTAGGTTTTGGCATATGATTACCCCTCTGCTAAAAGCTCAGAAAATTGATGGAAACGCAAATATTGCTCAGGAAGGAAATATTGCAAATATAAATCTTACACAGGGAGAAAATAATATAAATTTAATAATTGCTCAGGGAGGAAATAATGTAACCAACAACGAAAAATGATGCTTAGTTTTTAAGGCTTAAAAATTTACAGTTAATCTTGAAACCACCGTGTTTTTTTATAATTTCTAATAAATTATTTTTTAATCTATATACTATTATGTAAGTGATTATTTTAATCGGCTGTCTTAGTTTAGATTTTATAGTTGCAACGTATAAATAATGTACCGGGTGGGTGAAAAGTTTCTGGAAAGTGACCTTTTTTAATCACTATAATTATCTTAAACGTTTATTAATCAATGAGATAAATTAAAAATTATAATGTATAATTTATTTCATATATTTTTCTAATAAAATATACTTTTGAATCAGTGATAGGTACTGTATTACGGCTTTTGCCGTAATTCAGTAATTACTCCGGCAAATAGAGCATCACAAAAATATATTGTAACACTAGGTTTTAAGCTAAACAACACTGAGGTGTGATGCATCACATCAATGTGCTATTTGAATAAAACTTAAAGATCATATTGTGTCATATATTGTAGTTTTGTAATATATATATATATTAAGAGTGAGGCTTTGCTTCTGTTATTTATTAGATTAATAGATAATATTGTTATGTTGCTTCTACTTCTTTAAAGATAGAAAGTAATGTACTGATCAGGTCAGGTCAAAAGGTCAGATTTTGGCCAACCTAAACCTAATCTAACAAATTTCTTAACCTGATCTTAAATTTTTGAGTTAGATGGAATTTTTACAAACCTGAACCTGACTTAACAAATTTCTTAACCTGTTCTGAAATTTTCTAATTGAGTTAAAGCTTAAATTAACCTGACTCTAAATCTGATCTGAAATTAACCCAAAATTATAAATGTAAATAAAAAATAAAAAAATATATAGATATATATATAAAAAAAAATAGATTTCAGTCAAGAATTTTACTAAATTTGGAGATTATATTCTAGAATAATCTCTGTATCATTCTATGAATTTGATTGGCTGTATAATATTTTTTATTACTATAGAATCTTTTGATATTTTATTTATTTATTCAATATTAAATAATATACAAATAGCTAATATAAGATATCTACTTTAAATAATCCTATTTGATTCTTTGCAATAAAATCTAACTTTTTTTAATTAATCAAATATTATTTTTGTATACCTAAATAATCTAGAATTATATGAGCTAAATACTAGAAAAAGAGCTAAAAATAATATAAGTAGCTGCGCAATGTTATCACGTGAAACCAGGAATGGGAAAGTAGCATATTATAATACTAAATACTAATGATACTAACAATTGGTAAGTCTGTTATACAGCAGAGACAGTACCTAATCCTAAGTAAATCCTTCTTTATTTAAATTAAGTATTTATAAATAAGTATTTTATGATTTTAATTCTACTAATTAATGTTAACAAATCATCTTTATACTCACAAGCTAAATTAATGTAATGATTTGAAAGGTATTAGGTAATTAATTATAATTAAGTATTTAGTAACAAATATTTATAAATAAGTATTTATATTCATATTTAATTCTACTGATTAACATTAATAAATCATCTTTATACTTACAGACTAAATTAATATGAATGAAGAAATATTTGAAGAATATTAGATAATTAATTGTAAATAAATATTTAGTAATAAGTACTTATAAATAAGTATTTATATTTGTGATTTTAATAAAACTGATTTATATTAATAAATCATCTTTATACTTACAAACTATTTGAGGGTATTAGGTAATGAATTGTAACGAAGTATTCAGAGATAAGTATTTATGAATAAGTATTTATGTTTATAATTTTAATTAATCATCTTTATACTCACAGACTATTTAAAGAGTATTGGGTAATTAATCATAAAGAAGTATTTAGAGATAAGTATTCATAAATAAGTATTTATGTTCATAATTTTAATAAAACCAATTAAATCATTTTATACTCACTATTTGAGAAGATATCTAAAGCAGAGTAGGTTAAACAAAACAATAAAATTATTAAAGTTAGGGTTAGGT